AGATTAAAACGAGTTGTTGAAAATGACGGTGGTCACATCGAAAATATCCTAAAATAAGCTTTCTTTTCGTGTATAACAAATAAAAATCGGTTCATTTTTGTAGGAGTTTTTTATGTTTGTTGCGTGAGCGTTTAATCTGAAAGACCCTGTACAATCGCTTTTTTCGACAGGTATAGCGGCTTTCTTTTTTGTCATTTTGCATCAATAAACAGATTTTTGTACAATATTTGTAAGAGAAATATCAGAAACTATAAAATCAGTATTGTAAAAGCTAGGAAATAATTAGGAAAGGAAAAACAGAGCTCATATTACTTTTATTGTTTTTTATTGAAAAATACTAAATAATCAAGACATACAGCGTAGGAGATGGAAAAAGCAAAAATAATTTTTTCTATTATGGCTTACTTAACTAATCTTATAACTAATATTGAAAACTAATCTTATAACTAATTTTATTAGATTTTTTTCACTTAGACGTAAAAAAATATAACAATAAATTTATTTACATAAAGCAGCATACTAGAGAGGTTGAAAGTGGCATCGATTTATTACATAATTATGCTATTAATTACAAGTAATTATGTTAATCTTAAAAACTTACAAGATTGCGAAAAGTTTTTATTCCGTTTTGTAGCCATAAGGAACAGAATATCTCTTTTCGATAAATCTTCGCTTTACTAATACCGGTGTGCACGATTTAGTTTCGTCGGTGGTTATAATTTCATGGAATGCAGTACGCCGAATTGCTCTGTAACGCAGATTTATCGTCGCGTCTATTTCTCGCGTCTCTGTATCGCGATTTGCTTTTTCACTACGATCGATTAATTGTTTTATGCTATTGAAATTAACCAACTGCGATGTTTCATAATTTAAAGTTAGGTTTTAACTTTAAATTATAAAACTTAAAACTTGCCCTTTAACTTTACATATTTTGTGAGTATGTCCTTCGGGAGTGCGTACCACATACGCATAAAATTTAGGTCCTCCAGATACAAATGATTCAATATAGCTACCTCGCCCATAACTTTCAAGTTCGTCATGTTCCCCAAAAAATTTCCCGTAGGCGGCTCATATTCGCAAGGAACGCCGTTGCTCAAATATATACATGAGTCAGTATCGCAGTATAGAACACGCTGATCTAATCGCTCTAAATATTCATATAATTTTAAACGGGCTTGCGCTGTTGTGTAAGCTGCTATTACGACGTTCGTCAATGGAGAGGGTATGACTGCCTCGCGTCTCAACCGCCACGAAATATACATCATGTTATTGTTCACGGGTAACATGTCAATTATTTCATGTTCAGGACTTGCGAGTAACTCCATGAGCCGCTGACGCGTTTTAACAACCTCTGTATTTGAAAGATTAGAACGCTGTCCGAATTTCCCCCAGAAAGAATTTAAACACAATTTCGCAACCGAGCGTAAACCGGAATTCTTCGCGATATTACTTTTATCAAGCGTGATACCCTCTGTTTCTTCATATTCTCTTAAGTACCATTCCTTAGTGACCTCGTCCGTACATTCTCTAGGTCAACCGCTTGCTTCTTGTTTAAGGTACAAAAATGTATTTATATATTTGCTAAATAATCCGCCGCGTCTCGCGTCCCGATCGTAACGAGTAACTTTATATTGCCAAATTTCGCTTACCCCCGTCACGCGATAACCTTTTTCAATAGCTTTAAGTAATTCGCATGACATTCATGTACCTTCAAATTCGCGATCTTTTGAATGTTCATGTGCGCAGGCGTCTTGTGAGAGCGTTTCGCAACAGCTACGGCATAAAGCAAATAACAATTTACCGTGCGCACGATACGGAAGAACGGGGTGAAAAAGATCGCGTGGAGGAAGAGCCTTACAACGCACAAGTCCTTCGACATTGGAAAAATCATAATTCGGAGCTTCACCAATTAAAACTGAGCATTCTTCTCCTACATAAATATCGGGGTAATCGATTGGGAAAACTCCTGTTTTTAAAAAATAAGGATATAAAGAGCATACATCGACATAGCGTATCTTTTCTGTTCCAGCAATCTCATACTGTGTTACAATATTTTCCGTGCGTCCGCCGTAAAACGCGTCGCCCGGATTAAGAGGAGTTATCACGTGTTGTCTTGAGACGAAATTCTTAAGATTTTGATTTTCGCGTATTTCACGATCGAAATCACACTCCCACTTTTCTGTAACAATGTATCCCCGTTTTCGAAGACGATACGTTGTGGCGAGAGTTCGTCCATAACGTGAGTCGATTGTATCTTCTCGATGTGATGAAAGCGGTCGCGATTTATTCTAAAGCACTTAGGGCAGCCGTGCCAGAAGCACTCGTGAAATTGTAAAACATGCCGGTGTGCTGGATTTGCCGTTTCATGATATCCGTTGACTAACGTACCGTCAATTAATCTATATTCACGACCTTTACCCGCATGAATTATACTTTGACTAAGCACGTGCTCCATCCACAGTAACCATTGTAGAGCTTTGCGTGATTGTTTGTTTACCATTCTATACCCTCCCGAAAGGATAATACCTATTTCTTTTTTTCGCAGAAAGTTTTTACGAAAAACTGTCATATATGAAGAAGCAATAGTTGTACATTCCTCAAACGGGCAAACATTACCGCGATCAAGAAAGATTTTTCGAAAAGCTATGCAGGCCTGACGTAAAATATCGACATTGGTACGGCAATAGCGTATTATTTCATGCTGAAAATCGAAAACGACTTTATTTTGCGTCATCTTCTTATGCCATTTTAAAAGACGTTCGCGTTCATCAGATTTCATTGTTTCTGGAGAGTAATATTTTACATCGGGTAACGAACCGACATATGTTTGATTCTCGATAGTGTTAAATAAGTNGGGAAAAATACCTTTATCGGATGTAACTGACAGTCCGAAAGCTTTTGGTAACTCCGCTAATTTCATAGGTATATAATTAACACTGTCTACAAATTTTGTACGNCCTACAGACATTAGAATTATTTTTGTTCCGTTTAAAATTACTTTAGGTTCTAAATTAATACCGCTTTTAACTACATATCGAAGAATAAATTGCGCGTCAAATGCTTTCGCATTATAGGCGATGCAAATAAATTTTTTAAAATATTTTGATGTACGCATAGCAAACTTAACGAATTGTTTAACTGGGTTATCGCGGAATATATGTTCTCGTGTCCCGCACCAACGGCAATGCAGCGTTATATCATTCTCTTCCGCACACTCTTCGCAAATTTGTTGCGCTACACACAAAGTAGGAATGTGCAATTTATCGGTTTCTGTACCCTCAATTGTTACATCCTGTCTTGTTTCAAAATCGTAGAATATAATAAAATATAACCTACGTGCCCTTTCTCCCTGCGATCCTTTCTCTCATTATTAGTTGCCTCTTTTATTTCTTCCGTGAACTGGCTATTCGTCGCTGAATTTTTACCCGTTCTTCGCGTTGCGCAAAAAGGTTGCATGTAACACAAATAATTTATAGGACAACGTGAATTGCAGGTTTTACAGTACGCAACACTACATTCATGATATGCTTTAGATTTTATTAAATACCCGCAATCGCAGCAAAAACGTACGGTTTCACAAACGCTGGCAGTCGTTTTCCCATCATAAGACTTTGCAGAGCGATGATGCTCGTAACATGCTCTACTATAAAACGTACGCTTACACGACTCGCAATTTATATAATTTGCCTGCTCGCACGGCGATATGCGGTAACATCGTGGACATCTATTTGAGCAACGGTGATATGCCAAGTCGCGATAACTTATATTACAAGTTACGCAAAAACCTTTACTACACGCAGCCCCTTTTAAACTGAGTATGGGGCAGTAATGCCGCTCACGTTCATAATACATAATATACAATTGCATAGAGGGTTTACGTCCCAAAGAAACAATTATTTCGCGCCCGTTGAACAGAGCCTTCTCACCGCGTCCGAAAGTATCATAATTATATATTACAATCGCGATATCATAAGCAGCAAAGTAATTTTGGAAGCAGGCGATTTCTGCAATTCCGCACCTTTCCGGAGGTATTACAACTCTTGCTTTGTTAGTTAATTCTATTGCTAAATTGCACTGAAATTTCGACCGTTGTCGTCTTACCGCGTTCCATCTCTTATATAACTCTCCCTTACGTATATTACCACGCTCGTAATAAATCTTTGCGACTACAAGTGAACGCGGAAAACACAAATTATCAATATTGTTACGTCCTGGCCCATGGATACGGTCGGGCTATGGTGGTACGCAACAGCTGGACGTTTTATTCCAGATGCTCGACACAGAAGATGCGGAAATCTATCTGTGTGCGAGCCGAGCGAGTTGTTTGTACTCACGGACGGGTCATCGGCGCGTGCCGATATTACTCCGTCTTTTGTATTCTCGCTCGGTGGTCTCTTTTTAAAGTCTGGAGCGGTGGCTCCAAGGACTAGGGACAAGACCGTGCGATCGCTGGGACGGGAAAATGTACGAGGTCAAGCCTTGATTAATTAATTATTACACAATTTATTCCTCCTTTTTTACGTTAAAATATTTGTTTTATTTAACATTTAAAAGTACAATATTTATCGAACTGGTTTTTTTTACATGAGGTACTGAGATGTCGAATGTAACGCGAGCTTTACAATAGGCGGCGGGTCATCACTCAGAGGCTGGCGGGGACATGTGTGTGTGTAGATGTACGTGTGTATTTAGGGCCTCCGGTGGAAGTTACACGTGTAATGCTGTCATGGTGTGCGTGTGTGTGTGTATAGCCGATCCGTGGGTTGAATTTATTTTAGGAAAGTTTTGTGATTATCGGATGAGAGGGTAGTATTGGTGGAAAAGGGCTCCGGGAACATAAAAATGAGTATTGGAGTATGGCGGAATAACAAAGATTATTTCGGCAAAGGGGAGATTGGGTGTCATTCTATCGAGTTCTACAGGTGTTATGTGATTGAGGTCTATAGTTAATCTGCCGGGTGGTATTGGTGAGGATGACCGCGGAAAGCGAAGAAGATGTGGCAGAAAGCGAAGGGGGTGGTTGTCAGGGAGAGGTGTGAGGTCGTCTGACCGGGAGGAGGAAGGGGAAGGAGTGAAGCGTTCAAGGATTGCCTCTAGTTTTGAATCGGAATCGGAAAGAGGGGTAGGAGGGGAGGTTCGGAGAGGGGGAGGGTTTTCAGAGAGGACACGGGGATGTTCTTTGAGGGGTACAGGGGAGTACGAAGGAGACTCGTACCATGAATCGGCGTCGCTTTCGTGGTCTGCGTTTGCTGGCTGTATGTGTGTGGTTTGTGTGTGAATGTGTGTGTATGGTGTAGTTTCGGTTTGAGTCGCTGCTTCTCTAACCGTAATGCGGGTCGGAGGGGTGCCGGGTTGTGGAGGCCTGTTCGACTCCGCTCTGAGTAGCGCGAGGGCGGCTCGTCGCAGGGCCCGGTTGCGCAGAATGCGGCGTGCTCTTACCGCAGCGCGGGAAATTCCTTGGTTGTTCACTTGAATGAATGTTTTTAATGAGGAAAATGTTTAGTTTTCCAAGAGCAAACCTACAGTCGATCTCTGAGTGTAAATTCGACTGTGAGGTTTCTCTCTATTATTTTATTACCTCGTTCTTTTTGAGAAAAAGGGGGGAAGTGTACCGATAACTTAATCTACTTACTATTTATCAGCGGTTTCGTCGGTGTGGAGACCCGTGCTGTTACTTGAGCTCGATCGTAGTTCCTCGGTCGCAGCAACCGGGCGTCTAGGCTGGATGTTTTCTAGATCGGTGGGGGACTCGCACTTCGCACCGGTTCCTCGGTCGCAGCAGCGGGGCGTCTAGGCTGGGTGGTTAACTCGCACTTTGCACCGGTTCTTCACTAGTCACAACTTTTTATTTTTTCTTCGGCGCACTCTGGATTCTTTCTGCTTCTGTTTGCGGGAGTGTCGCTTTATATGCGCTTTTTGGTAGCCACGGGGCTTCCAATCAGAGCGCTTGATCGGTTCGCCCGTTTCCACCGAAAACAGTAGTGATTTCTAATTTGTTAAAAGACTATTAAAGTAGACACCATCTGTGCGACAGCGTCTCTTGCTTTTGCAGCTGGTATTTAAACTATTGAGATAATTTTTGTCTGGCAGAATTGTTTATTAGTGAGTCTCGAGCGGCCCTACCCGTTGAAAACTTCCCTTCCGGAGATAAGGAGATGTATTAATTTTGCCTAGTCGTTCTGGGCACATGGGAATTGTTATTGCATGTGTCCGGCATTTGTTCGGCCGCGGAGCTTGAATTTTTGTTCCCGGATTTATTGTTTTAGTTCGTTAGAGAGCGCGGTTTCGTTCTGTGTTCACTCAATTTTTACTGTCGCGTGTTTTCTCAGATCGATCTCTTGTTCTTTATCCGGGAGTTTTCTGTTTAGACTGCGTTTTATCTCTGCGTTTTTGTTTAAGATAAAATTCGATTCTACCGAGTGTTCACCATACTGCGTTGCATAAAGAAGGGAACCGTGGAGTCGCAGGACGTAACAATATTGTCAATCCATAAAATTGAGTGTTTCGCAATAAGCGTGCGATTTGCTTCTATTCCCCCGCGGCCCGAAATTGCTTTAGCGGACATTACGCGGATATTAAATTTAGAAGCGATATCAAGGCCGCCGGCGCTCTGCGGTACTGACCTTACAAGATTCCATATATCGTCGAGTGACAAGTCTCTGACCATGCGAAAAGATATACCTACAGGACCGTAAAACAAATTTTCGCTGTCGAACGCTATTCCTACGTAATCGTTTTCACCAAAGAGAATCTATTACATATTCATAAATTTCTCGAAACGCTCGCTCTAATCGACTCACTATATTATTTTTTTTCGGCTCGCGTATTGTAAAGTGCGCTTCTTTGCCTCGTACTTTAAAATTTTTAAATAGTCTGGTATGCTCACTTTCTAAATATACATACTTATAATTATTTTTTTTCGCTGCGCCGCTTCTTCTTCTTCAGTCACTGCTGTTTTCTCCTTTTTTTTTCTTTCTTTTATTAACTTCTTCTTCGTCATTTATTTCGCGATGAAAACCTCCTCCGATTTGCATATTATTTGCTGCAAAAGTAAAANCAAATATGTATTATTATTGATAGATGTTACATTTTATATATATTTTTAAGCAGCTTACTCATATCAGGATGTTTTATTCTTCGGGTGGTAAATTCAAAGTTAGCATCCCATCAAATGATAAATTTTTCATTGATTGATCTAGCAATGGATATTCGCGATGACTTTTCCACCACTCCTCTGCCTCGATGTCAGGCATATCTATGTGGTGTTGAAGCCACGCGGAGACATTCTCGACTCCTGCAAATTATAATTTTTGTCTAAATCCTGATATAAAAAGCGCAATAACATACGAAAAAGAAAACTTACTGTGTCCGTTTAAAACAGGGCTATAAGAAACGCCAATTGAAGAAATGCTAGACGTATTATCGGGTTCTAGTTGTTCTTCTTGTTCGCTGAGTTCATCTTGTTCTTCATGTTTTTCTTCAACTTCTTCAACTTCTTCTTCGCTTTGTTCTCCTTGTTCTTCTTGTTCATTTTGTTGTTGTTGTTGTTGTTGTACTAAAAACATCAATACTATATTATCAAGTTTCTGATGTACATACATAACAGTGATCTAACACAAAATAAATCGGCACATGCGGGGAGGTAATCATACATTAACGCGATACACTCACATGGTGAAGCGTGTACCGCACCGATACGATAATACTATAAATTCTGTAAAACGCCTTATTTAAATATAAACTTACCAGGATGCGAATGTAATATTTGTCGAAACAAAGTCAAATCTATTGTCAAGGCGGTGCTAATATTTTCTTCAGACGGCGTAGCCTCTTCTTCTAGCTCTAAAGTATGTCGGACTCTTCCTACAAATTATAATATATAATCGTTATAATGCACAATTTAATGCGACTTTGTATTAATATTGTAATAAAATTATAAGATTACTCATTGACTCTGATTCCAACGGAGAAGATGCACGTCGTTTACATATTTGACGAGAAGTTGCCGACAGTAGTATGTGGGCACTTATGGCGCGTCAAAACAAACCCCCTCCACCTGGCTCCCCACCACTTCTGGCGCCATTGCCTCACCAGGGTGGTTTTCCCCTTCCCTTGGTGGTGATTGGCCACGCCCACTGGTGGGGATGGAAAAATGACATGATTTAGCTCATGACATGATGAGCTCAAAATTTTTTATAAATTTTTTATAAATTTTTATAATTTTCTAAAAATGCGTATTTTAAAATTTTGTTGTTGAGGAATTTGTGTGGAAGGAAAGTTCGAGAATGTTCTCGAGTAAAAGAATTCTTCATTAAAAAAGTATATATTTATTCAAAAATCCGTTTCGAAGCGTGGCTGGTACTGGCAATGGCAGCGCTCCGATGTTGTTGCCTCGTGCGTTCAAACGTGTATGAGAGCAAGTTGGCGTCGGTTGAATGAGGAATTGTAAGGGCGGGGGTGGCATCGGTCCCGAGAAGAATCAATCAGCGTCTGGGCACTTATGGCTCCCAATGAG